GGGGTGTGGAGGGATGGGATGGAACAAACGCCTTGGAGGAGAGGTCGTTGCAGATTTGACCTTAAGGCGAAATGAGGATTTAGATACCCAAGATATAAATAAATAACTTGAGGCCATGTAAATCAGTGTTTGCACTAATTTCCTTACCTGAGGTCATGCCAGTTACATCATCAATTGCCAGTATTTATTCGATGCAATTTCGCCATGAAATTCGAGAGAAAGTGTTCCAAAAGGTAGATTTTGAATCGAGTTTAAAAATCTTATTTTTAAATAGTTATTCACCATATCCCTGTAATAACGAATGGTTAATGGTTAACTTATTTTAAGCTACCCAAAATTTGATTACACTAAAGGGATTTAATATTACTTCCAAATAAGTAATTTTGACCAAGGAAAACAATTAACTCACCTGTTTACTACAAGGGTATTCTGGAGGCGGTATTCCAGAAGTTATGCTAAACAATAAAACTTTGAATCATCTAAATTCCAGTAGCTAGAACAATACCTTAAATCCATAAAAAAATAATATATTATTTTTCTCTAGATTGTATAGCGTTTTTAAATAATCATTTTTTGCTCTTTAAAATAAGTATTATTATATTTGCAAGGCTTACACTTTATCAGATAAAGATACGAAACAATTCATTTGTAATGTCATTTCATTCTGAATCTCATCTACAAGGTAGGTAAATTTGATGATTTTAATATAGTTAATTGACTCAAATCTGTATATTGAATGCATTTGTAACTTTTTTTATTACAGTAGAAAAATTATCTTCAGAAAATGAATGAAATTATAATCGAAATCTCTACTACTACTAATAGTTGAAATTAGTTGATGCCTTTTCAAATAAACTAACAATTGGTTTTAGGAAACGTCAGGACCACATTAAGCTAGCTACCTTAGTCATCAGAATGCGACACCTTCAAGGAGAAGAAATGACTTGCCGTTTCCTCAGATTTGTTGGATAAACATTTTTAAAAGCCTATTATTTAGAGACCCACTAATCATTATCTCCAACATTTGAAGGTCAGAACTGAATTCAAGTTGCGTTGGGTTCCAATCGACCAGATTTTTCGCTCATCCCTCTTCTCTCCACACTGAATTCTTAAAAAGTAACTATTCTCCGTTTCAATTAATAGACTTGGACTATATTTTCATAGTGGGATGCGCTATAGACTTACCTCCACGTGGTGTATCCTGGGCAACGTATACTCATACGGCAAAAAGGTCTATAAACTGGCAGCTGATTTCTGACTTCTAACTACCACTACCCCACTGAATGTCATATTCGACTACTTCCACAGTACTTGGCTCACTTTTTCTACATTTTCTACCCTCGTCTTTGAAACACCCTTCTGCCCCCCCCCCCGTCTCGACTTTTTCACCTCAATTTTCCTTCCCCTTTGTGAAGCCAGAAGAAAACTAAAGTGCTAATGATAGCCATCAAAACGCCTGCCATTTGATAAAAATAAATATTATCATAGTATGCAAGTTCGACGAACACTTCTCTGGACACGACTATTCTGAAATGCTTTTTAATCAAAGTAGGGTTTTTCACAACCAGTAATAAACAAATATTTTAGTATATAGTGAACTAACGTTTTGTCATCATAAGTTTATTTCTAAAGTGACTAGAACGTGAAAAAAGCAAACAGTAATAACTGATCTCTATCACATTTCCTAAGAGAATCTTTTAAATGATCTCATTAAAATGTTCAATAAGTGAAAATTGCTATCAAAGCAGATAGAATGGGTAATCTTGTACAGTTTTGAACGCTGATCATAAAAATTACCTGAGTAATAAATATGCCCGAGTCGCCTTCCAGAAATTCGGAACCTACTCCACCAGCAATACTGAAACCAAATCCATTACTAGTTCCCCTCACCAGAGGTACCTCCACAATAATTGGACCAGGGATGGGATCAGGTTGAGGTCGGGTCAACAACTCCCACTCCTCTGCACTTGGAGTCGCTGGGGCAGAGTGCTTCTTCGCGTGATGTAATCTTTTCTTTGGCTCTGCAAGCGAGGATCTTGATGATACACTATCGTCAACGGCTGTATTAAGGACACTGGTTCTGTGAAAAGATAAGAGAAATTGGAGGTATGGCCACTGAAGTCTCATTACAAACGTTGACAGATGAAAGAGAGTTGATAATAGTAGAGATGGAAATGAATCAAAGTACAAAGTTTGAATTATTTCTCCCATTTAGTACACAGGGTCTAACATCGTTTTCTTGGCTAAACCTTGAATTATGTGGGTTTGTTAAAAGAAAATTAAGCATTCACTAATTTTTTTCTGATGGAATTGGCAAGAAGGGCTATTTTTAATTGACCAACCTATCACGATAGACATCCACTACCCACTGCGTTAAGGATAATCTTAGCATCTTCTTTGGATATATCATGCAATGATCATGAATTATAAATGTGGACGATTTTAACCTATAAGAAGGAAACTTTCAGACATCTAAAGTCCACTCAAGCGTGGTGGCATGAACATTCAAACACCATTTATCTTAACTCGTCTATTCGCTGTACGCTGATCTCAATCGCTTGATTTGCAAATATCACCATCTCCCAGACCTTGTGACTCGAACTTCACGGACTCTGTGATACGTCCACGGCCCACAATTTGCTTAAACATTTCAACTAAGGACACCAAAGGCTCCCTTTAAGCTCGTGATTTGTCAAGAGTAGCTACCTCAGTAGCCGCGTGCTTTCGAAGGAGAGGATCAAACCCACAAGCGGTACCAGATGTGCTTTATATCTCTAATGGATATGTAATCAAAAGTAAGAACGTTGTAGCTTGGTATTTATGTATTAAATAAAGACACAGATAATGATATTTATGTGTATCAGTTTTAAGAACTTTTGTCAGATATTAAGTAGCTCCTCTCGAGTCATTTAAGACAACTGCTAAGTCAAGTATGAATGGCTAGTGTTCAGATGATTTAGGAAGAGAGAAGAGATGAATTGGTTTACTAGGTTGAAAGTGAGGTCAGTTAAACCAAATTTATAAAGACAATTAGCGCTCTTTTAACTTGCTCCTTTTACTTAATTATACTTTCATCAAAGACTACGGGCACAACGACGCAAACTCAGCGAGTTGATGGTCCCACCTCATTGGCCAAGGCTAGCTAGCATCGAGAGTAACGGATTTCTTGAGGACACTCAATCCAAGATAAGCATTGCGAAACGCTTTACTGAATGAGCCTGAAGATTAGTAATAATCTGTTTTATATTTCTCAGTGTGGGGTGTACGATAGACTTATCTCCACGTGGTGCACCCTGGGCAACGTATACCCATACGGCAAAAATGTCCATTAACCGGCAGTTGACTTCTGACTTCAAACTGCCATAACCCCACTGGATGCCATATTCTACCACTCTCACAGTAATCATCCTACCTTTTCTCTGCCTTTGTGTCTGTCTCTTTTACAACTGTAAACCACTCTTCTGTTCCCCATCCCTCGACTTTCTGTTACTTTGATGTTCCTTCCCCCTGTGAAGCCCGAAGTCAGCTAAAGGGCTAATGATAACTATCAAAACGCCTGCCATTTGAAATAAATAAAATAAATAAATATTTCTCAGTGTCCGTAATTCGAATCAGACTCAATGCTCAGTCCATTAACACTAAGATCATTTCACCTCTCTGAGAACTCCCAATCAAAGTGCCTGAATCCACCGCTTCCCTAAGTACTTTTGGGCAAGAGGCCATGCCGTATTAATTTGTTGAAATATTTCAATTTTCCATGATGTTCCTGGTTTGAGGAATTCATAAAATGCTCTCAGCTTATACCAGTTTAACCTTGTAAGAAGAGCAAGAATATGGGTGTGGCGTGTTCGCTCTTTCTTCTAACCCGCGTAATCCCAGTTGAGGGGTTTGCCTTTGGCAACAAGCAAGTTAGTGCTAGATCGTAAAATTCGTGGCCGTGAAACTACAAGAGAATTCAAGTCTTCATTCTTGTAAATCAGTCCAACTGTCCCAACTCAAGTGCTTTGAAGACTTTTGCCCCTAACAGAACTACATTTCTCGATTAATACAGTGATGCTAAGGGTAAAGGGCTGCCAATTGCAATGGAAGCAGTAGAGATACCTCACTATTTTATGCGATAGATTTTCGTATTCGCCTTCCTATCAATTTGGTACCAGTAATATTTGAAGTTATACATCTTTGTATTCAAACTGTGCTTGTAGCGGGAATATTAACAGATTTCTGGTCGTTTATCAAATGGACTTAATAGTGAATGAAAACTTACACGGTGTCTGCATGCGATTCCCGTTTGACGATATCGTTATGAGTAGTATTCTGTGTAAGTGAGCGACCACTTGTTGTCTGCTCCGGATCATAAAGCCAAACAGTATCATCGTCACCCTCCTTTTCCTCTCTATTTAGAGTCACTTTTCCAACTCCTAGAGTTTCATCCGACACGGTGGATTTCTTTGGAACTCCTGAAGGATTTGCAGGGTATTGGCAAGAAGTGAAGAGGGAAGAGAGTGGTGAAATGGTGGTTGGTTGAGCTCCGCTTGATTCAGTAGTACCTCTGGAAGGTGACGGAGAAGGTGATGCCGAGGTGGCTGGAAGAATCATGCAGTGAGAACGAGACAGAGCTGTAATACGGGACCGGATTGCTGCGGATTGGGAGCCTGAACTTCCATGGCCTTGAAACCTCTGAGACGCGTTGTTAAGCAACCCAGTGGTAGCGGATATTTGCGGCGAGACACAAGATTTAATTGGTGGTTGAGTGGGTTCGACAGAGAGAGTGGGGATAGGTCGTTGAACTTCCTATTAAAGAAATACCAATTAAATGCGTTGGAAGTGTTATAAATGCATATGATGTATTTAGGCTTTGAAAGATCACTCAAAAAGAGCTTAACAAAGAATACTATAGTGCAAAAATCATAGCAAATTTATATGTGATATGTTACAAATTGAGTAGAGAAAAGGTTTTAATTTGCCAATTTAGTAATCCCAGTGGAAGAAATGATGGACATTGTTGTCAGCAGCAAAATAATACAATTCTATTCTATTTTTCTTCTTAATCTTTATTACCATGTAAAATCTCTCTTGTAATCATGTTGCTCTCGTTCTAATGAAAAGTTCCAATAAAATATTACTCGTTCGAAAAATTATATTCGTCTCTCTACGAATTTTAAATCAACATTATTAGGGTCATTTCGACTTACCAAGTCGAGGTAAGGGCCGGCTTGTTCAAAGACGGTCACGGCCTTCAAGTGTGGAAGACCAACTAAACCGAAGCCATTGACGGAAAGAAGGATATCATTAACCCTAGAAATATAAAATATAGAAATGTTTTTTGCCAACATTTTAATTTTGACAGATACATAACAATACTGATCATCAAGTCAGCCATTTGATTAACCTAAATGGTCCGTTTTGAAAGATCAATTTTCATTTTGTTGACTTATTTGCGCATTTTACACTGCTTAGTTAAACAAATTGGCTATTAGCAAAAAATGAAACTTTATTGGAGAAAATGTCAAACCAAAACACTAGAGAAACAGAAATAGTAGTCATATTTGTACTAGATCCAATCACTCATGTAAAACCTCATAAACTCCCATATAGCTCCCCACCCCCACACCCACTCTTCAAATGTTCTTTTACATGCTAATTTAATGTACACACTGCTCTGTCTTGTTGAATTCACTCAGAATTTAACGCACTTTTCTTTCGAATAAAAATAAACTTCAAAAACTACCGAAGTGTAAATACCACTGATTTGAAAAGCGGTTTCATCTCGTATCTGGGATTTGTAGAAGCCAGAGAGTCATTACAAAGTCATTAATATGTGTCCTCTTAATACTCCTTCTATTAATGGATTTTTACTAAAAATGCGAAATTAGTTAGCTGACCTTAGCATATCTCAATTCATCTTTAAGGTAGCGTTACCGCTTATCATTTTCAATCGTTCACGTCCAATATGCATGTAGCCAATCACAACTCTGCATTTGGCCAATTGAAAGTGGCTTCTGTAACCATGGTTGGGCTTCACTAACTGGAATAGCGCTACTTTACTCTAATAGTCATTATGCACTGGAAACACAGACCCATCTTCTAAACTTCATCCTGAAAATTCCTTCACTGTGGGCTTAAGAAATTTAATTTGTTAAAAGAATTAGCCCTTCAATAAAAGTAGACAAATAAAATCGTACTTGAGACGACCGTCAGTATCAGTAACACCTCCAGGTGTAATTCTAGCGACATAGACGAAACGGGGGTTAATGTTAGGCAAAGGAGGTTCCTGATCAATACCACCAGCTATCGAAAATCCAAATCCGCGAGGTCCTCTTTTGAGTTGAACTCGAAAAGTGGGTGAAAACTCGCTCCCCTGAAAACGTTTCGAAGACGACGCATTCGAAAGGGAGGCGGAAGTAAAGCTCGGTGACTGTGAACTTCCGTCATCGTCAAAGATGGGGGATTCTTGAGTTTCTGTTAGATGATGGTTAGAAGTGGAAATAGTTTTGCGTTTAGAGTGGTGGTGATGACGATGTTGCGTGCGATTCAATTCAAGACGACCGAAAGACCTTGTCATGGTTGAGGTCTGGTCTTTAGAGGCGCCTTTCATGCCGTCTTCAGACGTTAGAGCGGTGGGACGCGTAATTTGCGTCATTGAACGCTGAAATGAAAAAAGATTGGACTAAACGAACTTATGCAAAAAAATAATTTTCCAAATATACTTTAGTGAATAAGCAACGTTAATTATTTGTCACTTAGAATATTGTAGTATATTGTTTGCGTCGCTTTTTGCCATCGTGACTTTTAACTAAAAATGATACAATTTTAAATAATTATTTCTGCTTTGATAAGTCAATTAATAAAAATTAATTTCATTTCTTTGTTTGCTGTTTTTACATAGAAGTGAGTTAATAGTTGGCAATAACTGTGTGAGACATTTGGTCATTCAAATTGCTACAAGGTCTTTTCATCGGGGAACAGAGAAGAACAGTTTTCTGGTTGACTCGTCTAAAATTCAATTACCACTTCTCAATTTGAGCTCTACTCTCTGCCTCTCCTCTGGCTAACCACTTCTTCCCAATTAGATTGTCTCTTGAGAAAGGCAGATGTATTCATGCTTGATTTCGTTTCATGCCTCAAGCAACTACAAGGACTAATGGGGGTGAGAGGGTGGGGGGTAGAAACGCGAAAGAAAAAGCTTTGAGAAAATCACGCAAAAGATGTACACATATATGATCCTTTGAATATAATCCGGAAAAATTGCTCGGAAAATAATTGGCCAACCTTAAAAACGGAAGTTAACCAAGTCGATTCAAATCAGTCTATTTCAAACGACCCATTGCCAACTCAATAAAAAATTAAATTATCATGAACGAAATGCTAAAATAACAAAAAAACAGAAAACCTATCGTTTCGTAAAACATCATTGTCCTTAGTTACGAATCCTGAAATACATCAGTCTGCAGCTTAGCCTGCCAATAACCAAGACCCCTATCAAATGATGGGATCATATCTCAAGACTTCATAAGCAAAACGCTTCCCCTCCCTTAATTTTAGTTTCTAATGTCTAAATAGACTTACCTCCACGTGGTTCAACCTTGGCAAGGCATTCTCATACGCAAGTCTATAAACCGACAGTTGACTTCTGATTTCAAACTACTTTAACCCCACTGTGTGTCATATTCCACCACTTCAACAGTAATCACCCTATCTCTTTCTCTACCATCTGTGTCTGTCAGTCTCTTTTACATCTGTCAATCACTCTTCTGTCCCCCTCTCTCCACTTTTTCCCACTTTGATGTTCCTCCCCTCTGTGAAGCCCGAAGTCTATTATAGAGCTAATGGTAGCTATCAAAACGCCTGCCATTTGAGATAAATAAGTATCTGCACCCTCTATATTTGCCCCTGGTTCACTAATGGCTTGATTAACATTATCATTACTCTAACTCGAATCAATCAATTTGTGTAGGCAGTTCCATATCCAATATAGACCCATCGACAGATTGATTCTTTTTTAATTATGGGTTAAATCGATAATACACTTCCTTCATTATTGCCTAGCATAGCTGAATACCGGAAGTTATCGTCCAACATTACCATCTATAGTACATGAATAGAGAAAAATACCCAAGTTTTCTGCCACGCGTTATAAAAGAAGCACAATACGCTGTAGTTATCCCGTCTCACATGAAAACTTGATTTTCCGAGAAAAATTTTTAGTCATCGAATGTGGCTGTTGATTTTAAACCCTGGCTTAACGTTATAATTCCAAATCAAAAGTCAACCGCTAAAAGCTTTCATGTATTTCGTTACAAATTTGTGAATCCAAAGTGCAGTTCAATGTAGCCGTTCCACTTGAAATGAAGGAGGGTGGTAAATTTTAAGTATCTCATGAATTAATCATGAATATTTAAGTCTTCAGGAAAAAATGGCAAATAATATCATCATCTATCGTAGCCACCGTTAACAAAGCACACACACACATATATGTATACCTTATTTTAACTATTTTTTTTATCTTTTCTAAGTATAAAAGAGAAACGGTATGTATAATCTAGTTAAATTGGAGTAATCAGTTCCAAAATTGCGAAAAAAGAAAATCGATCTAAAAACGCATTTATTCCTGTGAAAGAAAAAGTCATTAGATTATCTTTTTAAAGTCATTGCCATTTTTGTTGACGGATTCACTCTATACTTTCTTTTGTTTTGTTAACGTGGCCAGAGCATCTAACCTATATTTTTTCTTACTGTATGGGCTTCTAGGTTAATTAGTAAAAAAATTTTTTTTGTTTAGTTCTTTAGTTTTGTTTTTATCCCAATTTAAAAATGAAAGAACAGGACGCGCACTTCCGACACATTTTATTGTATTACTTCCGAAAAGGCAAGAACGCATCGCAAGCACAAAAGAAGTTATGTGCCGTATATGGAGATGAAGCCTTAAAAGAAAGGCAGTGTCGAAATTGGTTTGAAAGATTTCGTGATTCCGGTGATTTTTCACTGAAAAATTCACAACGATCTGGCCGCCCAGTCGAAGTGGAAGAAACCCATATCAAGGCCATTATCGATTCAAATCGTCACAGCACAACACGAGATATTGCAGAGAAGCTCAATGTGTCGCATACATGCATTGAAACAAAATTAAAAACCCTTGGTTATGTCAAGAAACTTGATTTATGGATCCCTCACCAGTTAAAGGAAATTCATTTGACGCAACGGATTAGCATCTGTGACTCGCCACTACTGAAACGCAATGGGAATGATCCATTTCTGAAGAACCTAGTTACTGGCGACGAAAAGTGGATAGTTTATAACAATGTTACTCGCAAGAGATCATGGGTGAAGCAAGATCAACCAGCCCAAACAGTATCAAAAGCAGAGATTCATCAAAAAAGATTATGCTGTCAGTCTGGTGGGATCACAAAGGAATTTTGT